TATAAAAAGGGACACCTGACCAAGAGCATCTCAGTATCAGGCTGCTCTTCAAACCCTGATGAAGTGAGCTGTAATGTTCACGAAACGTCGGTATAAAAATGACACTAACGCGGTTCAAACCCGAAAAAACATCTTTGTATGTTAATAAAATTGAATGTTTGAAAAAAGAAAAAAGTAACAGTAACATTAACTCAATAAAACCTATCATGTATTCTGTGAAACCGATAAATACTTGCGTAATCAGTGATTCTGTCAATGTTTCTAAAAAACATATTTTTACAATTATTGACAAACCAACGCCTCAAATTTCTGACTCCAATCATGTTGTTATTAATGCTAACAGTTTTAGCAGTTTTGTGTCTTCAATTTCTTTATTTGATATTCGTGAGAAGTGGTTTGTCAATTTAAGTTCGTTTGACATTCCTGTTGAAGTTATTGAGTTATTACAGTTGGGAGAAAACTTTTCTATGGCAAGTGTTAATAATAGGAATAATTTACTTGAAATTATTAAGGAGTTCTTGAAAACGACTTAAGACTTTACAATAAAAAAACAACAGAGTCATTGAGATCTCATGTGATTCCAATTTTGTCTAACGCTTTGTGTAATAGGAGAAAATTATCTGACATTGACAAAGAACTATTATCCAGAGAGAAACATGTGTTGAATTTTACAAAGAATTACCCTGACATTATGTTTACACGTGCGGACAAGGGCAATGTGACTGTTGCTATTGACAGGACTTCTTACGTAAAGATGATAAATTGTATGCTTGATGATCGATCAACTTATTCTATTGTTGATAAGAACTCCATTAAAAAAATCGAGAACGATCTTAATAAATTGTTACAAAAATGGGCGGATAAAGAATACATTTTCGATATAACTTATAAATCTGTCAAATCTAGTCATGGTTTGTTACCTCGAGCATATGGTATTCCTAAAATTCACAAAAATGACAACACTTTTAGATTAATTGTTTCTACTATTAACAGCCCTTTACATCGGTTTGCTGAATACCTACATAAATTAATTCTAAAAAGTATACCAAATGTTAACAGTCACATTGCAAATAGTTTTGAAGTAGTTGAAAAATTGAATAATTTTACAATTCAGCGAGATCACTTACTTGTTTCTTTAGATGTAATAACATTATTTACGAACATACCTATCGAATTGGCTTATAAAAGTCTTAAAGTCAGATGAAAATACATAAGAAAAAACACAAAAATACCATTAAACGAATTTTTAGAAGCAATTAATTTTGTACTGACATCCACATTTTTCTCTTTTGATAATACGATTTATAGACAAACCTTCGGTATGCCAATGGGTTCCCCTTTATCTCCAATAATGGCTGATATTGTGATGCAAGATTGAGAGAAATCGGTTTTAAAAAAATTGAACTTCAAACCTTCTTTTTATTTCAGATATGTTGACGATATCATTTTGACTGCACCTAATGACAGTTTACAGTTTTTATTGGACATTTTTAATAGTTACCATAATAGATTACAATTTACAATGGAAATACAAAATAACAATTTTTTAAGTTTTCTAGAGGTTAAGATTTTTAATTTTGATGGCAAATTAAGTTTTGATTGGTATCACAAATCAACTTTTTCAGGGAGATATTTGAACTTTTATTCTTCCCATCCTAAATCACAAAAAATCGGTACTATTATAGGTATGGTTGATAGAGTTTTTTTATTATCTGACCCTTGCTACCATAATGATAATTTTTAATTTATGATTGAAGTTCTTCTTAAGAATAACTATCCATTACATTTTATCTTTAAGACAATCAAAAATAGACTCAAGTTTTTAATTAATGACAAATTAAATTTACATATTAATAAGACTGTCCCACTGTCCAAAGATTGTGAGACTAATATTAAATATTTTGTTATGCCTTATTTAACTGATTTTTCTATGTCATTTTCTAATTTGTTCAATAAATCTAAGGAAACCTCTTTGGCATTTCGAAGTGTAAATAAATTGAGTAAATTTATAAAGGTTGGTAAAGATAAAATAGATCATGATCAGAATAAAGATGTGGTGTATCAGATTAATTGTAACAATTGTAATGCTTCTTATGTTGGACAGACGAAGCGAATGGTAAAAACTAGAATTAAAGAGCATAGGAATCAGATTAATAGAAATTCAAATATTTTATCGGTTGTTACTGAACATCGTTTAAATAATAATCACGATTTTATTTGGAATAATGTTAAAATTTTAGATAAAGAAAAATTTTTTTACAAGAGATCTATTTCTGAAATGCTCCACATTCAGTTACAAGACAATCCGATCAATGTCAAATCTGATACTGACGAACTTAAACCTTATTTCTCTTTCTTGGATCTGTTTAAAACTAAAAGATAATCTGTTAATTTAAATGTGTTTTCAACTTGATGTTTATCTCTCTGTGTTATTGATATGAACATGTTTGTATATAAGCTGATGGTGGGAATATTGGTATATATTGTTGTATCTTGAGATTGCGCGCTAGTACACAGTGTCCTGTGCTGACTGTTTTGGATGCTGTCTACTCGCGTGTTGTCTATTCGAAGTATGTATTATTTTTTATATTGTTACTTTTCATTTGTAATCACGGTTTTTTCTTTTCTTTTTTCAATATGTTTTGCGCTTATACCCTTTATTTTATTATTAGATCACATTTGTATACACTGAAGAAGGTCTAAACCTGTGACCGAAACGTCTGTTTAATTAATAAAGAATTTTTGTGATACACGACCAACTTGTATTTTACTGCTCGGATCGGCCTTTCAACTCAATTTTTGTTAATTAGTAGAGATTTAAGTCATATTATTATTTCCTATAACGAACCTATATCTTAATTGCTATCACTTTTCTTTTATATATATATATATTATACAATAAAATATTATCAAAACTTATTTTATTATATTTTACCACTAAGATATTGTATATAATTATTATTTTACATTACAAAAGCTTGTTTTTGCAATAATTTTAAAATATTACTGTTATGTTGTTACAAGTGTGCTAATATTTTGTGGATCTATATCTCTGCAATGTCTTTGTAATGCTGCATTGCAATTTGCAGTGTTGCAACGTTGCTGCAATATAGTTGCAATGAACTGTGCTGTATGGGTATATATAGTTAATCGTTTTTGAGATATGTTGACTGAAATATTTTAGTGTTTTCGGACTTTTAGAAAATCTTGATACATATATGTTATTTTGTACTTATCTACAAAATCTATTAAAGTAGGAATTATTTGAACGATGTAATAAACTCTGCATAAATTAATAATAATAAGATTATATATTTATAGATTCTTCTGGTAAGCCAAACGGTAAACTAGGACCAATGAATCCAACAAATCTAGCTTTATACGATTTTGTAAGGAACTTATTTTCTGAAATTGTGCAAGTGTTTCCGGACCAATATCTTCATTTAGGCGGCGATGAGGTACCTTTTGATTGCTGGGGCAGCAATCCAGAAATTATTGAGTACATGAAAGCACATAATATGTCTAGAAAATACGAATTGCTCGAGAATGAGTACATAGCTAAGATACTCTCAATTAGCAAGTTACTAGATGCTAACACAATTGTCTGGCAAGAGGCAAGGAACTTTCTTTAGTTTTTATTATTATAATATATTTTGATAAAAATGTTTTAACTTTTCAAAGTAATGTATAATTTTTTTTAAATTACTGTTACTTGATGATTTGTAGGTCTTTGACAATGGTGTTGTATTACCCGACAGTACCGTAGTTCATGTTTGGAAGTTACAACAATGGCAAAAGGAGCTAGAGAGAGCAACATTAGCAGGACATCCGGTTTTACTATCCTCTTGCTGGTATCTGGACCATATGGCTGCCACTGGCGGCGATTGGGAAAAATATTATAATTGCGATCCTTTTGACTTCTCCAACGCGATCAATGCTACACATTTAATGCTTGGCGGTGAGGCTTGCATGTGGACTGAATTTGTCGATAAGTAAGTATAACTTTCGGTTTTATTTAGGGTCAAAAATTGGTCACATTTTAAAGTGTTTGAATTAAATTAACAAGAAAAGATATATGTTTAAAGTTACATTGTAGAATAGATAAGTATGATTTATACATACAGATGTCTGGGCAAGATTTAGATTTGTATTTTGTTATATAAAACATAAAGAGTTGTTTTGTAACACATAGAGAAAGCAAATAAAACTTAATGTGTGTGAAGATAGCTCCGCACTTTTTAAATTTCATATTTTTAATAATTATGCCGTATTATGCTACTTTTGTGTCAATTTGTGCCGCAAATCGCAGCTCAATATTGTGAACAATTTTTCAGAAAATTAAATAAGAAAAACAAAATTTTTGCTAACCCCGCACTTTTTGAATTTTGAATTTTTATTGATTGTGCTGTCTTGCGCCACTTTGTGCCGCAAAAAACGCAGCTCAATATATTAAACCATATTTGAGAAAATTTTTTCAAAATATTTTTTTAATAAAAAGAAATAAGGAAATGGCAATAACAAGCTAACACCAGATGTTTGGGTACACTTCTTTTATAATTCGAAGATTTTAAAAAATTCTTACCAAACGTTTCGATCCACTATGGGATCTTCTTCAGTGTTTTAATAAAAACTTACAAAAACATAATGATCTATTTGAGATCATGAAGAATATGGATAAAAAAAGATAAGCTACATAGATATTCAGTATGAGAAAAAGAGAGACGGAATTGGCAGTCACGTAACCGTCAGTATTACGCAACAGGATGCAAAACGTCCTCCCGCTTCGAATGTAACTGACAGACTTAGCGGCCCCCTTCATATTCAAGATACATGTAACGGTCTCATCCCCACCACATCGCTTTAACCGAACGAAGACTAAGTCGCCTTGTAATTTTCCAAAAATGAAAAATATAGTTTTAGCTTGTCCGTGTCCGACATGACGTTAATTGAATTGCTTTGTAATTTGATGTTTATCATCTCGGAAATGAATCTCTTGAAAAAGGAAAATTCTGTGTCCAAGACTTTAACATTTTGCCAATTGAAATTGTGGTCCGTGTCAGTTCTATGCTGTGTAACTACAGAAACATTATCCACACGACAATTAATTTGATCTTTGTGTTCGGAAATTTTACCCAGCAAACACAGAATATAACTGCTATATAACATAGAAGTAACAGCGTGATATACGTAATATAACAGCTGTTATACTCTAGTAACATCGATGTTATATAACTTTGTTTTATAAGTGTAATATAATTATGTTATATATTATATAACATAATTCTATTATTATTGCAACCAATGAGAGTTGCAAACCCGCTTCCTAGCAACGACTGTTTCTACGATAAACAGTTCTTCTTTTCATTCTTCATTCTTTTGGACTGACATTCATTTTTCGACATATTTCTGACTCGTTCTCACGTACTCAGTTGTACGCGTTACATTTGTGATTTTGTGTAAATAAAAACACAACAATTATATTGCTTGTTATTAGCTGGTAATGACATTATAACTTTCATATAACATTTCTGTAACTATATAACAATTATATTACATTCTACTTACATGTTATATTTATATTATATAACTGCAATATACGATAAGTAGGAAATTACAACTAACATGGATGTTACATGCAACGACCATGTTATATTATATTACTTGTTACATTTGTTTTATTACGACAATGTTGCTATTATATATCTGTGTTTGCTGGGGTTGTTCCGCGATATAACAACTTTGGAAGAAGCTTTCAATTCTTTATGTTTTGCTTCAAACCGAATGCACGACATGTTTCGAATAGGCCCCGTTAGCTGCATAGCACGCGGATAATGTAATAATACATGATGCTTATATTTTAGAGTATCTTTAAAAATTTTACGATATTGTTTGTGGTGTTGAACTGTTAGCTTTGATAATAAATCAATGTTTTCATTCGTTATTTCCCGACATAAGATAATTGATATCATTTTACGAAAAAGTATATAAATTTTCCAAACCCGATTGTCTGGAATTAAATCACCAATCAATAATCCGAAGTAATATAAAAAGCATGCTATTTCGGCTGCTAAGTATATGATGTATCCTTTCTTGAAAGCATCTGTAATCAAGAGGCACGGTAGTGCCTCGCGCCAAGTATATGCGCAAACGAAGTGCTGCGCGAGGTACCCCGTGCCTTTTATACGCGAGATTTAGCTGAGAAACTTTTCGAGATTTTCTGATCTCAACAACGGCTAAACCGATCGAGTTCGTAGTAGACTCAATCGAAAGTTGAGATCGAGGCACGAAAAAACTTAGTTCGCGGTTTTTTTTCCCTTCTCAACGGGGATATCTCGATACAAAGTCCGAAATGTCTAAAAACTAGGTTCTACGAATTCTTTCGTCCACGTCTTGGGACAATGGTTGAGCGTACTTCGCCTCTTGTTGCCGCCAGGTGACAACACTTTCGTGTAGATATAGGCTGCGTTCCGAGTTACACATATGCGCGCATTTATCTATAGTACACGTTACAGATAGTATAGAGAAATACGTGATATGCGTAACTCGGAACGCATCCATAATCTCGCGCCAAGTATTAGCGGTAGAAATGATATTAAACATTTTTTGTGTTATTTAATAATACAATTATAATACAATACAATAATATATAATAATACAATATAATAATATATATATTTTTTAATTTATTTTAATATTCTACATTTAACGATACGTAATCTTTTTTTGTGTTTTATTATAATAATACATGATAATACAATAATATATATATAATACAAATATAAAAAAAATTAAAAAATATTATTGAGCGTACACTCTCGTTATTAAATTTGTTAAATAAAAAATAAAAAATACTAAATATAAAATAGATATACTATCCTATGTTAACTCGGTATTTGGAGAGTTCCCGAAAACGCGGTTTTACAATAAAGTTTATGAATAACAAATATACACATTTGATTTATTTTAATATTTTACATTTAACGATACATAGTCTTTTTCGCAAATCGCGGATATCTCGAGAACCAGAACAGATAGCTTGAAACTAATTTTGCAGGTACCTTCAATCGGCTACTCTGCGATTTATGACAAAGAGTGAAAGTTAACAAATTGAATACTTCGAGAACGGTAAAAGTTAGAGCAAAATGGTTTTTACATCTCAATTCCTATTGGTTAGTTGCAAAATACCTTACGGTAAAAATTTGATAATTTCTATTATTTAAACAATTAATTGTTACTAACTAAAGTTAGAAAGTTCGAACTAGGCTGGTATTTTGCAGTTTGTTGCGCTAAGGATTATGGCGCAAACTGTTTTCCTTTATCTCTTTTAATTTAAAAGTTATTAATTTTGCAACTAACTGTGATGTTGCGTAGTAGCGACTTAATGGTGATAACTTATCGATCTTTACGTAAGGTTTAATAATAAGCTTCAACAGATTAAGTTTTAACGGTAAATTTTAATACGTGAAATGTAAAAATGCATTTGGACTGCCGAGATGTTTTTTGTTTGACGTCAATCGAGAAAACATGTTCATGCGTAACAAGGATGGCCGTAATTTATTCGTTCTACACATTTAAGATTTGTTACATTGTCGAAGTAATAGTATTTCTCTCAATCCTGTAATTTTATTGGAATCGTAGTTTTGTTTAGCCGCGAGCATGATGTTTGCAAAAAATTTTATTCTCGATTATGTGGAAAAAGAAAAATAGAATACACATTTACTAAATGTTACAATTTCTTCAATGTGTAAAGTATGCGTGTGTTGTTATTCAAGAGATGTTTTTCTTATTTTGATATATATATATATATAATATATATATATATAATCATATATATAATATATATATATATATATAATCATATATATATATATATATATATGAATATATGAAAAGAATACTTAATCCTCAACGGACGGCGTGTTTTTTTTCGGCACCTTAATTCGCCGGACATGGGTCCTTTTCGTCTTGAGCTTTTTAAAAATATTAAATATTTTTTTTTAAATCTGAAACAATATGTATATACTCTTTAAACTGTCTATTTTAAGACACCATCATTAAATTTAGTGAAAAAAAAGTTTTAATTCATAATTTTTAGCAAATATGACAACAAGAAACTTACTTTTTTCAGAAAGTAATTTTGCTTCAGACGAAAACGACCCATGTCCGTCCGTTGAGGGTTAAGAATAAAACGCAAACAATTAAGTTATATATAATGCAGTAAAAACAGTGTTTGTCAAAACCATATTCTACAAAAATGTGTGATATCCGAACAAAATACCTTTTCAAAAAAAGGTAAAAAAAGGCACTAAGTACATGCGCAACTCGTATCTCTAGAAAAAGTATTACAATCAAAATCTTCCTCTACAAGATCTATTCTACAAAAGAAATGATATAAATAAGTTACGCCAAGTAAAATCTTTTATTATACATGGTTACAAAAATATATAAAATATATAAAACTTTGTAAGTTGTTTATACGTTGTAAAATAGGAAATATTCTAAATCAATAAAAAGGTTCAAATATTGTATGACCACTGCACTTTTTATATAAAGCACTCATTGATGTAAGAAATGACTTTGCCTTGCGTGGAAAATCTTAAACTATGTCGAATCATACATATAGATTTCGATTTGTGT